TCTATGTCATCTTCTAAAAAATACCAAACTGCTTAAGCTCATAAACTAATGCTACCCGTCCACTCTTACATGCTAATAATGATAAAGTGGATCCTTCTCTGTTGACCTGAGACACATTACACTTTTTCTTTAAAAACATAATCACGAGGTCAACATGACCACCCAGTGCTGAGTAAAGCAATCACTCCGCTGAAGTTAGCAGCACATTTTGCAGCAGCACATTCCTCACTTCAAATTGATTAAATTTTTGTGGTCGAAGCCTTATAACAAGGGTGGGGCTGGATTAGAACTCGGGTGGAGCTGGTTGCTGCGCTCGAGCGATCATAATTACTGTTTATACCGATAGATTATAAGATGTTCTTTTATAGGACAAAAAGAGCAAGTCAAGGGAACACTTAAGGTTGCTAGATTAATATCTGTTGTTCTTTTTATAGGACAAAAAGTGTAGGTCAAGAGAATAATATTTTGTGACTTTTTTTGATAGCTACGTTAAAGAATTAGATCTAATACAAAAGAACTATCAGGCACCATAGTATCTATGCAGCTCAGGCACTTGACTATAAGTGCAAGATGAAGATTGTTTACATCACATATCTGATATCATGAATTGTGACATTTTAAGCATCATTATTTTATTATTATTACTATATAATGTTTTACAACACACAGGACAAGTGGAAGGGAGAGTAAGATATGAGACTTAGAGAGGGTTGAGTTTGTTCCACAGTCGGACAATTCTATTGAAATAAATGTAAAAACGAGTATGATGTTTAAGTATAGTTGTGAATCAGTTTATGGACAGTGGACAATGTAGTAGAATTAGTGGAAAAAGGAGACAAATCAAGCAGGACAGGAAAGTTATTTGAAGGGATCTTAATGGCTTTGACAATGAAGTTCATGCCAGTACATGAGAGAAAGAAGTGAGACGTTGATTAAGCGTTCTCTGAAACTAGTAGAATAGTCCAATAGGATCTGTTTTGTCAGATTCTTTACAGCATCAGGATGTCCTTAAGGATTAAAACCGCTTTTGTCCTTATTTATGGGCGTGTGGACTCCACCCACCCTCATCGTATCCGAAATGTCGTTCACTACATTAAGATACATACATTAGTCGATATTTCATGTCTGTACCTGTTGCACTTCTCCATAAATAAGAGGATTTGTTTCTTTAAAACCGCTGTCGTCCTTATTTATGGGCGTGTGGACTCCACCTACCCTCATCGTATCCGAAATGTCGTTCACTACATTAAGATACATACATTAGTCGATATTTCGTGTCTCTACCTGTTGCACTTCTCCATAAATAAGAGGATTTGTTTCTTTAAAACCGCTGTCGTCCTTATTTATGGGCGTGTGGACTCCACCTACCCTCATCGTATCCGAAATGTCGTTCCCTACCTTAAGATACATACATTAGTCGATATTTCGTGTCTGTACCTGTTGCACTTCTCCATAAATAAGAGGATTTGTTTCTTTAAAAAAGCTTTCGTCCTTATTTATGGGCGTGTGGACTCCACCCACCCTCATCGTATCCGAAATGTCGTTCACTACATTAAGATACATACATTAGTCGATATTTCGTGTCTGTACCTGTTGCACTTCTCCATAAATAAGAGGATTTGTTTCTTTAAAACCGCTGTCGTCCTTATTTATGGGCGTGTGGACTCCACCTACCCTCATCGTATCCGAAATGTCGTTCACTACATTAAGATACATACATTAGTCGATATTTCGTGTCTGTACCTGTTGCACTTCTCCATAAATAAGAGGATTTGTTTCTTTAAAACCGCTGTCGTCCTTATTTATGGGCGTGTGGACTCCACCTACCCTCATCGTATCCGAAATGTCGTTCACTACATTAAGATACATACATTAGTCGATATTTCGTGTCTCTACCTGTTGCACTTCTCCATAAATAAGAGGATTTGTTTCTTTAAAACCGCTGTCGTCCTTATTTATGGGCGTGTGGACTCCACCTACCCTCATCGTATCCGAAATGTCGTTCACTACATTAAGATACATACATTAGTCGATATTTCGTGTCTGTACCTGTTGCACTTCTCCATAAATAAGAGGATTTGTTTCTTTAAAAAAGCTTTCGTCCTTATTTATGGGCGTGTGGACTCCACCCACCCTCATCGTATCCGAAATGTCGTTCACTACATTAAGATACATACATTAGTCGATATTTCGTGTCTGTACCTGTTGCACTTCTCCATAAATAAGAGGATTTGTTTCTTTAAAAAAGCTTTCGTCCTTATTTATGGGCGTGTGGACTCCACCCACCCTCATCGTATCCGAAATGTCGTTCACTACATTAAGATACATACATTAGTCGATATTTCGTGTCTGTACCTGTTGCACTTCTCCATAAATAAGAGGATTTGTTTCTTTAAAAAAGCTTTCGTCCTTATTTATGGGCGTGTGGACTCCACCCACCCTCATCGTATCCGAAATGTCGTTCCCTACCTTAAGATACATACATTAGTCGATATTTCGTGTCTGTGCCTGTTGCACTTCTCCATAAATAAGAGGATTTGTTATTTTAAAACTGCTTTCGTCCTTATTTATGGGCATGTGGACTCCACCCACCTTCATCGTATCCGAAATGTCGTTCCCTACCTTAAGATACATACATTAGTCGATATTTCGTGTCTGTACCTGTTGCACTTCTCCATAAATAAGAGGATTTGTTTCTTTAAAACCGCTGTCGTCCTTATTTATGGGCGTGTGGACTCCACCCACCTTCATCGTATCCGAAATGTCGTTCACTACATTAAGATACATACATTAGTCGATATTTCGTGTCTGTACCTGTTGCACTTCTCCATAAATAAGAGGATTTGTTTCTTTAAAAAAGCTTTCGTCCTTATTTATGGGCGTGTGGACTCCACCCACCCTCATCGTATCCGAAATGTCGTTCACTACATTAAGATACATACATTAGTCGATATTTCGTGTCTGTACCTGTTGCACTTCTCCATAAATAAGAGGATTTGTTTCTTTAAAACCGC